TGAGGAGCAGGGGGCTGTCCTTGTATCTCTAGTGAGGCCCGTCCCCAGGGACACACCTGTCTTGGGGCCATCACCACGGTGCTGGCCCCCAGACCCTCGCCCTCGCTGCTCCTGGCAGACAGCTGGTGGCGCAGTTTGGGGTTGCTGTCATTGACTGCTCCTGGGCCAGACTGGAGGAGACACCATTTGGGAAAATGCGGGGGGGCCACTTGCGGCTGCTCCCACACCTGGTGGCTGCCAACCCTGTGAACTACGGCCGGCCCTGCAAACTGTCCTGCGTGGAAGCTTTTGCTGCCACCTTCTGCATCCTGGGTGAGTGTCCAGGTCTGGTGGCGTGGAGGTCTGCAGTGCTCCCAGCCATATTTTCTGTGGGCAAATCCCAGGAGGAAATGAAGGTGTGGGGAGAGATCGGGTTGGACAGGTCAGGGTTCCCATGCCAACTCCCGCGGGCCTGAGGGGCCCAGTGAATGGCTGGCCCACAGGCTCCTGTGTGGCCTCCTGTTAACACAGCACCATTGGCCCGAATGCCCTCCATCACCCCTCACAAACCATCCTGGGAGGCCCCGGGGGAGGGACTGGGCAGGCTGCGGGGCTTTGTAGACTGTAAGATGGCATCTGGCAGGAACTCAGTTCCTGGGACAGCGTGGAGCAGGGTGGAGGGACACGCTCGCAGTGGAAGGAGGATTGTCCACTCTTGGGTCTCCTTTTTGTGCACCCTCAGGCTTCTCAGACCTTGCTGTCCTTTTGCTGCGCAAGTTCAAGTGGGGCAAGGGCTTCCTAGACCTGAACCGCCAACTCCTGGACAAGTATGCGGCCTGCAGTGGCCCAGAGGGGGTGCTGCAGGCCGAGCGGGAGTTCCTGGCTGGAGCCGCGGAGGCCCCCGAGGAGGACATTGGTGAGGCCTGGCTCGGACAAAGCACCCCCAGTGGAGGCCAGCCTGCCCCCTTTGGAGCAGCTCAGGGCTGGGGGCTCAGGTCTGCTGCAGGCTCACCCACGGGTCACTTTCTTCTTTGTTCCCTTCATTCAGATCCATTTGATGTGGATTCAGGGAGAGAGTTTGCAAACCCCAATAGGCCTGTGGCTGGCACCTGGTAGGTTCTGGGCATTCCCAGTTTTGTGACAGCTCAGACCCAGGCCTCTGGCCTCAGCCGCTCATGCTACAGGGGAGGGTCTGGGTGAGGTGGTGCCCTACACAAGGGCACGATGGTTTTCTGACTGGAAGAGGGAGCACGGGCATCGCACTGGACAGGTTTTGGTTTCACGAGTACAGGAACAGAGTGGGCCCCAGCTTGGGGCTTCGCAGCTGAGAGCTAGGGAGGGTACCCTCAGACTGGCCAGAGTCACCTTAGTGAACACGGTACCCCCTTCCAGGCTGCCCACAGACAGCGGGGACAGCGAGGATGACTCTGAGGAGCGCGGGCCTGAGGCCAAGGACAGAGGTGGTGGCCCCGAAGAGGCGGCTCTGGGGCAAGGAGCTGTGGCCGGGGCCCCCCCAGAGGCCTGGACAGGAATCGAGAAACGGCAGAGAGACTGAAGACTGCAGGCACGTGTATTTTCCGGGACGGAGCAATGAGGAGATCCAGAGGCGGCAGAGGACTTGGGGGACAGACGGGCCTGGCGGCCTGAGTCCGTGCGGCTGGGAGCAGGGGTCAGCCCTGCAGGGGTCTCTCCGGGCCTTGCCTTGGACCTGTCCCAACAAGCTGCAGGCCACTGAGACCCCCGCGTGAGCCTGTTTCTTTGCACTTGGCCTGGAGGCTTAGAGGGACTCTCGGTCTCTAGTGAGGCGCACCCTGCATGAAGGGTCCAGGCCGTGGGGTGGCAGGCAGTGGGTAGGTCTCGCATGGGTGTGGACACATAGGAGAAGCCAGCCAATTGGCACTGACCCACCAGCCTCAGAGTTGCCGCAGGGGTCACGCCCTGAGCCTGTGAGCCAGTGAGGACAAGACCGGGAGGTCTTAGCCGACCTGTCTGCATGCCCTCAGCGGGTAGAGGGTCTTGGAGGCAGAGGGGACTCCACCCATGCTCCCACATCCTGGGGCCCTGGACTCCCTCCGAGACGTGGCTTGTTCATACTCAAACGCCAGCCTTCCTGCCTCCGCCTAGTGAGGCCTTGTCCACCCCACCCCACCAGAGAGGCAGAGGACAGAGCTCCCCCTCAGGTGGGGCTCTGCTGCAGGGCTGGTTATGTCTTTGGAAGGACCATTCCCTGGGCGGGCGGTGGGGTGTTGCTGCAGGACGTTGAGAAGCACCCTGGTCTCTACCCACTGGTGCTTCGCCTCCAGTCCCAACTGATGAACCTAACGTCCCCTGCAGGGCAAGGCCACCCCACCAAGAACCCTCTAGGACCAGTGCCTGCCCGCCTACCTGCCCTGGGGCTCTGGCATCTGAGGGAGCAGACAGGAGCTCACTGGGGACCAGGCCTGCTCTGCTCTGCACGGGGGGTGGGGGGGAGGGGGGTGCGCAGCTGCAGGCCAGGCCATGCTGAGTCTGCTGCCCAGATCAGTGTGGGGGTTGCTTGCTGGGCACGGGGTTCACAGCACACACCACAGGGGTACACCCAGGGCAGATGGCACCCAGGGGTCCAGCCACAGCATGCATGCCACACAAGGGAGGGGGCACCATGGGCCCCCGCTGCACAGAGCTGACCACAGGCAGGTGGAGGAAGTGTGGGGACTTGGGGAGGGCCTGGGGCTGGCGGCCCGGGGACTCAGGGGTCTGCCTCCATGCACTTCTCCAGCTCCTTAAGTCTCTTGACAAACTCCTGCGCGTCCTTGTTGGCGCGGCCCTCCAGCATCCTCAGCGCTGACCTCACTGTGGGTGGGTGGGAGGGTGGGGCTGCAGCAGGCAGCGCCAGCCTGCAGACCCACCGCCCCAGGCCGGCCCTCACTCACCCTGGGCTCGGGGCCGGCGCAGGTGTAGGGTGATGGGCTGCCTGGCCCTCGTGCTCCCTCCCACCTGGGGCCGTGCAATGCCGCCAATGCTGCCCAGGCTGAGAGCCGCTTCCCCCGCGAAGTCGTTGGAGGACAGCCAGTCGTGGTCCATGACGGTGAACAGCACGCAGGCGCTGCGGTGGCGGCACACCTCGGCCGGCACGGAGCTGCAGCAGAGAGCGGTCACCCGCAGCCCTGCCCCTCTCTTGGGGCCGGCCGGGGCGGGTGGGACACTCACAAGTAGAAGAGCTCGTCATACAGGGGGTGCAGCGTCCGGCTCTTGACCTGGGTCCTCTGGCTGCGGACCAGCGGGAAGAGGTGTGGCGGGCCCAGCTCCACGATCACAAAGGGGTCACTCAGGCCTGGGGACACTGCCGTGAGTGGACGGCCGGCCCCCTGCGGCCCAAGCCCTACCCCGCGCTGCGCCCGCTCACCGTTGGTGTCCAGGGGAAGCAGGTCGGCAGCATGCAGCACCTCCACCACCAGCCGCTGCTCCGCAGCCTCGTAATAGCAACGCACGCTCAGGCGGCCGAAGCGGTTCTGCTCCAGAGGGCGCTAAGGGGAGGCAGGGCGTGGGTGGGGCTGGATGGGGCGCTGCGGGCGGGGCGCGCCGGCGCCGGAGCCCCGTACCTGCTTCAGCTTGTCCAGGTAGTACTGCTCGATGCACTCGCGCGTGGAGCACCTGTGCAGGCGCAGCTCCTCCTGCAGCCTCTGCGGGGGCGGGGGTCGCTGTGCGTGGGCTGCTGCGGGCCGCAGCCGCGCGCAGCCTGTGCCGGCCTCCCTTCCCTCCCTGAGGCCCCCGGCCAGGCCTCACCTTGTAGCTTCCGTCGCACAGGCTCTCCAGGGGCAAGCCCTGGCCCTCGGCGTGGAACACACTGACCAAGGCCTGGGGCAAGGCAAGAGGGGCAGCAGTCGGGCACGGCGTGTGCTGGGCACAACGGGCCAAGACGGGGCCCTGAGCAGCACAGGGGCAGAGCTGCCTCGCTTCTGGGACACCTCCAGAGCCCCCAGGCAGCCTGGGAGCGTGGGTGCCTGACGCTAGCTGGTGGCCCAGGGCTGCTGCAGGTGGGTGTGCGGGAGGGGGAGGGGATGCTGCCTCGGGAGAAGCTGCTCCACCCACAGGCCAGGAAGCAGTGAGGCAAAGGGCGGGTCAGCAGCCTCATCTCCCAGGGCAGCGCGGACAGGGCCTGGAACTGGGCAGGGGGCCCCTCCTCGCAACCCTACCTCCAGCGTGAAGTGGAAGCGGCTGTAGAAGTCGGCAGAGACATCGAAGTTTGCACCCAGCGCCTGTAGGATGGCCTGCAGGAGCAGCTCCCAGAGGGCCTCCAGTACCCTGCAGGGACACCTGGCATCTGTGCCTGCACCCCAGGCCCGGCCCTGCTCCCCCACCCAGGACCCCACCTGCTCAGGTTCTCCTTCACCAGCGAGGTGCTCAGCAGTGCCAGCTTCTCATCCAGGTACTTCATGAGCGGGGCTGCAGCCTGCAGGCGGGGTGCTCAGGGCTGGCTGCGTCGGACCCTCTCCCACTCCCCGCCATGCCAAGCCCAGCACCGGCCCCTCACCTCCTCGCTTTGGATGGAGTCAGGAGACAGGCCGATGTGCTGCACGCACTTCCTGACGTCACCTGCCATCTGAGGGGTACAGCGCTCAGCCTTGTGTGGGCTGGGGCACCCAGGCGCCCTGCCCTGCATCCCCACTCCGCCCACCTTTGAGGTCAGGTGCGCTGTCACAGTGTGAGCCTCCTGCTGCAGGTCCTCGTCCAGGGCTTGCGTGCAGCTGAGCAGGGGGCGCGGGAGCACCCCCTCGGACCCTGCTGCCCCCTCCGGCCATGCCAGACCCCGCAGTGCCTGCCCAGCAGCCTTGCGCAGAAGCTCCACATTGTTGAGGACCACACAGAGCTGGGAGATGTGCCGGCCACGGGTGGTTGGGGCCCCAGGGTGACCCCACTCGGCCTTCCACCCCTGCCCACCTGCTGGCCAGCCCGCTCACCGGTTCACTCACTGCCTCGCCTGTGGCCCCGGGCTGAGTGTCCACCTTCTTCCGCAGCAGCTGGGTGTAGAAGAGGGCTGCCTCACACAGGTCCTAGGCAGGAGACAGGGCCTCAGGAGCTGTAGGATGTGCCCTGGCACTGCTGCCCTCTGGCCCCAGCTCCTCCTGGGCTGTGCTCCCCACCCCCACAGTGGACGCACCTGGCTGAGCTGGGTGCCCAGCCCCTGGGCCTGGGTGGGGTCTGGCCAGGCCAGGCGGGCCCACAGCTCCTGGATGTGACCGAAGCAGAGGCTTGCAGTGGCTGCAGAGCTGCTGTGCTTGGAGGACACATCCATGGGCTCCAGCTAGGAAGGCAGGAGGGGAGGTGGGGAGCTGCAGGAGAGGGGGGCCCAGATGAGCCCAGCACCCTCATGCCCAGGTGCTCACTCACCGTGTCCACGTCCACAGCGCCTTGAAGCCTCCACTTGGTTTGGTCCCGAAGCACCTGCAGCCACAGCTTCACAGCGGGCAGAAATGGGGCGTGGATGCCAGCCAGTGCGAGGGAGCGGCCGTCCCTGGGGCAGGAGGCCAGTCAGTACCCACCCAAATTAAGACACCTTGAGCCAGCCCGTCCTAGGGTCCTGGCGTAAGGGAGCACTGGGGCTTCTGTCCCAGAGCCCTCCTGGAGGAGGCTGGAGTACAGGTGGGACAGCATAGACATGGGGCGGAACAAGTGGGAGGAAGGAGACAGACGGGAGCGATGGGGCGGGAGACAGGTAGAGAAGGCACGGGTGGGCAAGGCACCCACCGGCCCGGGGTGCTGCTCCAGAGACGCTGGATGTCTGCCAGGGTCAGGTAGAGCTCAAAGAGCCCTGAGGCCACCTCGAGGGTCATTTTGGGGCTCAGCTCCTCTATCAGCACCCATGCTTCCTCAGTCACCTGCCCAGAAGGGGGGAGTCTGGCCCCAGGCAACAGGGAAACGCAGACCCCTTCCCAGCCAAGGCATCTCTGCCCACCCCTCTCCTCACCAGGCGCTCCAGCTGCCGGAAGGTGAGCGTGAAGAAGTCGATCTTGACGATGCTGCAAAGGACACACCTCAGAGGCCTGCTCACCATGGCCGTGCATGCCAGCTACAGCAATGGGGCGCCGGGTGCAGAGGAAGCGGGCAGGGCCAGGGCTCACCTGTGGAAGAGGCTGGCGTAGATGCTGTAGCAGGACTGCAGGTCCTCATAGACGTCGTCGGCCAGCTTGACCATCCCGGTAAGGCGCTGCGGCCCTGGCTTCAAGGAGGCCCCATTCGCACTGACCTTCTGGCCTGCGCCCACCTGCCCCCCACTCTCCTGGGGCCATGCCCTCCCTTAGCCGAACCTGCTCACGTGGCGTCTTGGTGGTCAGGAGCCTGTCGTACCATTCGCGGTTGCCTCTCTGCAAAGGACGCAGTGGAGCCAGAAGATGGGTGGGGCCGAGGGAGGATGGGGAAGGGGGTGTGGTACTGCAGGGTGGGACACGGGCTGGTGGCGTGGTCGGACCAGGAGTGACGTGGCCTGAACAGTCGGCCTGCCCCGGCCACCAGACACACACACCTTCAGGGCTGCAGCGATGTCCATGTTCAGCCCTGTCTCGAAGGGGCGGACCTCGAAGGAAGGCTGGAAGAGCTGCAGCTTGCCGAGACACCTGCGCAAGGGGCGCCGTGACGAGGGGCCGCCCCGCCTGTGCCCTGCCCCACCCCTCGTGCAGGGCTGCACCCACTTGAGCAGGAGCTCCAGGCGGCTCACAGCCTTGCTGTTGGTGGCAGGGAAGTAGTCTCGGAGCCCGCGC